CAATAGTCATGAACTATTCGCGCCCACTCAGTTCCACGGAACAAAAAATAGCAATAGTCATGAACTATTCGCGCCCACTCAGTTCCACGGAACAAACAAAAAGTCGCAATAGTCATGAACTATTCGCGCCCACTCAGTTCCACAGAACAAACAATAGCAATAGTCATGAACTATTCGCGCCCACTCAGTTCCACGGAACAAACAAAAAGTCGCAATAGTCACGAACTATTCGCGCCCACTCAGTTCGAAAGAACAAAAAATAGCAATAGTCACGCACTATTCGCGCCCACTCAGTTCGAGAGAACAAAAAAAAATTGTTGTTGCCACCAGGAATCGAGCCTGCGCCACTCCTTCAACATTCAATCACACTGACCAGCAGTCTACTTGCCGAGTTGTGAACATTTACGCGATAGCCCTATTTCAACAAACTTTGCCGCCGCCTCTCCAATTTAAAGCTAATTACTCTATCCATCTATCATTATTAAAATATTCTACTTTCATGAGCGCTAATGGCGCTAATGGGGGGCAAGACGCAAGAAGCTGGCACCGCGTCAATCAAACGCGCCACCAGCTGGGGGGCAACTGGGGTACATAGGGCCCCACCCAAAATTACCGACGAAGATTTAAAAAATAAAATATAAGCTAGTGATGAGTTAAAACTCACCACCAGCTTGGGGGGCAATTGTTGGGGGTGTTGCTAAGGGACCCCCCGCAGAGATTAAGTAATACCGCGTCCAATCGACAACGTATGACACTCTAAACCCGCTACGAGTATATAAAGGTATGAAACCCACCAAGCAAAGGGATTCCTCTCTCTCTCCCCCACTTTCTACTTTCTACTATCTCTCTATCTATTCTCTCAACTCCCTCCACAAACATACACGAACTTGATCGTCGGAGCTTAATCCGGGGGGCAACCCCGGCTCTTTCACAGGTTTCTTCTCTCCCGACGAGATCGGACGAACGGATCGCGAGTCAACCCCACACCAACAAATATCATTGTTCGCGTCCTGAGCTAGTGGGATCAAACAGAGATAAATTTAGTCTCAAACAATGTCCAAAGAATGAATTGGAACGCAAGCAAATGGAACACATTCCTTATGAATCTATTGTTGGAAGTTTGAATTATGCACAAACTTGTACCAGACCAGACATCAGTTTGTTGTCGGAATGCTGGGCAGGTATCAAAGTAATCCAGCAGTAGATCATTGGAAAGCTGCAAAGAAGGTGCTAAGGTATCTGCAAGGAACAAAAGACCATATGCTCACCTTTAGGACATCTGATCACCTTGAGGTGATTGGATATTCAGATTCAGATTATGCTGGATGTATAGACACCAGGAAGTCTACTTTTGGCTATTTGTTCCTTCTAGCCGGAGGGGCAATTTCATGGAAGAGTGCGAAGCAGTCTGTTATTGCCACATCCACTATGGAAGCTGAATGCATAGCTTGTTATGAAGCTACGAATCATGGTTTATGGCTGCGGAATTTTTTTCTGGACTTGGAATTGTCGACACTATCGCCAAGCCGCTGAAAATTTACTGTGATAATTCCGCAGCGGTATTCTTCTCTAAGAATGACAAGTATTCGAAGGGTGCTAAGCATATGGAGGTGAAATACTTTGTCGTTAAGGAAGAAGTTCAGAAACAAAGGGTGTCGATCGAGCATATTAGCACACAGCTTATGATTGCTGATCCATTAACAAAAGGATTGCCTCCTAAGACATTTACTGAACATGTCGAAAGGATGGGGATTATAGGATGTCATGACTAAAGTTATTTATGGATTGACACTTTGAGCTCATTTATTTTGTTTTTGGAATAAAGTTATGAATCTTGTTTTATTTATTATGATAAGTATATATACATTATGCATTATGTGAACAAAACAAGATTTTTGTCTTTAGGAAAGACATTATTGTCGGACCATTATGAATACCTTGTTATGTGTCATATTGAGCATGAGACTGATTTGGTGGTACATGGAAGGGACTGTGTCGATAAATTGATATAGAACCGCCATGATCCTAATCTAGTTTTCATACTTGATTATGACTTTATGGTGAACCAAATATTATGGATTTATCTTATGATGTGCACACTTATGTTTATTATTAGATCTTGTGATATATAATGACACATGGACCAAGTGGGAGAATGTAAGCCCAATTCCCGTATGGATCACTAGGGAATAATTGTGGCCCAAGTGTAATTATCACTTAATGGTTTAATATATAAGGTAAGTCATATATTGGTTAGGTTAATGAAAAAGGTAATTTTCTAATATACCCTGATGGTGGGTCTATATAAAGAAACCCTAGGATTGGTCCTCTCTCAACCCATTACGTAGAATTTCTTAGCCGTCATAGAAATCTCTAAACCTAAAACCTAAAGGGGTCAAGAGGGAGAAACTCAATTCCGGTGATTACTACTCAAGCCGCCGCCGCCGCTCTCGTCATGGATCGAGGTAGGTTTCCTTGATCTATTACCAATTCGTGAAATCATCTAATTCTAAGATCCATGCTATTATGATTTATGTTTACAGAGAGGACATAAGGATTCCTAGTGAGCTAGACTGTTCTAGTCTTGGAGTTAATCAGACCACTTAAGCTTAAGGGACAACAAGATTAGCATCGAGTTGAAGCTTAATTAAACACAACAATATTGATGCTCTAGTTTCATAAAAAAGGAAGAAAAATTCGCAACACACGAAAATAGGCTGTGAGCAACTTGAGCAAAACAAGCATCAATAACAAGATCTCCAAAGTTATATACCTGAGAAGGTAGAGTAAGATCCTGAAAGACAGCTGAGGGTTGAGAATTCGGGATTTTGACTGCACCAACTTGGTCTTTCGGATATGTGGAATACGAATAAGGTTGAGAGGACTTCGAGAAGCCACCAGCTCCCCTGAGGTAAGCAGTTGATCTGGAAAAGCAAAAACCATAACATCATCATTGGTCAGCTAAAGGTCTGGAGCCTCAAATCCATGGGATGTTCCAATAAAACCTCACCTGGCCATGCATAGTAATTCGCCAGATCCCTTCTCGTAAGTCTTCGTCTCGATCTCAGGAATAGCTGCTTTGCCTGCAAGTATTAAAATGTAGGAAACCACACCAGTTACAAGTTACAACGCTAAAAAGCAGCAAATAGTTCTGTACAGTTACACCATTCCTTGACTACAAACCTTTGTCATGCAATCCAGCAAGACACGATTTGTTCAACACAATGTTGTCAGAACCGAACCGCCATATGAATCGGTATAATAAGCGGTTCGCACTTTATTGGTTTAATCGCTATCAAGCCGTTATAAACCCGATATCGAACCGGTGTCTAAGAAATAAAATTATTATAAATAGAAATCATTAATGTAATTATAATTATATATTTATTCTAATATATTCAAACAAAAAATTAATATAACAAGTAAAGAATATTATTGTACATAAATATAAATTATTTAAGTATAATACGAGTGATATTTAATAGTTATGAACATTATTTAATGATAAGTTTCAAAACTCAACACTGCGAAAGTGTTTAATAATAAGACTTGTAGCTCCTACTGCACAAATTGGTAGTAGTACAACTGTATAAACGTTTAACTCACCAAGAGCTGCAGGGTTCAAATCCTAGCCCTCTCCATCTGGCTGGATATTTTTGTCATCAAGATTCTGATCGGTAAAACCTTTCGAACGGTTCGGCGGTTGAATCGATCGGTTCGCTTGTAAATGGGGTGTTCCAGCCGTGGCGGCTAAATAGCCTGACCGGACCGGAATTGTAACAACTACTTCAAAGCTAGAATTGTAACCCCTATACTGAATGGTCTCTTCAGTTCGAAGAACTTACTGATGCACTTGAAGAGAATGGAGTAAAATTAGTTTCAGAGTACTCACTCTAAACCAGGTATGTCTAACCCATTCATCATTACTTCCACCGAAAACAAAGCAGAAAATGTTGGGAGGACCTAATCAAAATGCAGACGAAATTAGTGACAGAATGACCTAAAGAAATCTTGTATCACATAGCTACATACACATTACACAAATCCCCTAATCTCTGAAAACATTCCAAAAACTGTTCAACAATCTAATACCACCAGAACAAATGATTTACCACAGCTATAGTAGTTCCTAATTTTAGAACGTTCTGCAAGCATCAAGAAGAATTCACCAGCGAATTTCGCGATTCGTCCTAGCAATGTATACCTGAATAGATTTTTGGCCGTTTTCGTGGTAAACATACTTGAGCTCGTCTTCATCGACGGCATCACGGCCACAAGCTCCAACTCCCAGAATATAAACAGCTACGTCTCTATCAAGCAGAAAGAAAATAGGACGACTCACAAACTCAAAGGAATGTACAGAAACTACGGCGAGGGACCGAGAGTGCTCTACTACCTCTCTGTGCAATCGAACGTCGTCTGGTCCCCGTAATGATCCCGACGAGCAGATAGACAGAAAGCCATCGGATGTCAGCCAATTCCTTATTCAAACACGGAAAATGAATTTTGAAGTCTGTGATAGTACCTCGGGGAATCTGTGAGAAGAGACGAGGTGATGACTAAATCTTGCCCGTCCGCCATTGGCGAGCTGACTGCCTTTGCTAACCTACTCGCAGAGAGAGAGAGAGAGAGAGAGAGAGAGAGAGAGAGAGAGAGAGAGAGAGAGCTTGAATTTGATTTGTGTGCGTTAACTTGCGAGGAGCTCTTGTAGCGTCTTACTGGTGACTGCAACGGATAGCGGGCGTCACCTTATTAATTACATTCATGTATGGGCAAGTTCATGCATGGGGGGACTTCTAGGTTCGTTCATTTATGACGGCCAGATACATTGTACTTAGTGGAGAGGATGACTATATAAGCAACCCTCTCCCTCATTTGTCATTCATCCAGAAATAAGAGGGCTTTCCATCTCTAGAGTTTTCTCTACACTTGTGAGTTTGAGTGAATACGAGCAAGGCTGACTTAGCGCTCTAACGATACTAGAGTGCTAAGTGCCGCACGGCCAAGAGTTGGTCTGTGACAAGTGGTATCAGAGCCAAGGTCGTAGCTCAGCAAGTGAGAAAGAACCTGGAAGAGATGGCTCGATCCGGAAGCGAAGTTCTCAATAATGAGCAACAACGCGGTCGTGAGGAGAAGAAGGATCCAAACAACAAGAAGCATCGTGATAGATCTTACTCGAGAGCCTTTGGTTTCAATCGAGGAGAGGCTCACGAGGGCGGAGACGAAGATTGCCAAGCATACAACCATGTTCGAGGACATGGAGTTGAAATTCGATCAAGTCAGCGCAGAGGTGCAGACTTCGAAGGACGACATGCAAGGCATAGGTAATCGAATGTCAGGCTTGGAGGTGGGGTTAGAAGCTTTCGTAGACCAGTTTGTAACCATCATCACCAACGCCATCGACTCCTTGAGGGAGACCGTTCGAGGCCAGGTGGACGAAGTAAGAGAAGAATTTGACGAGCTTCGAGGAGAGCTCAATCTCGTCAAACGAGCCGTGGCTGATGGACCTGTCGCGATCCAATCTACCCCACACATGGATATTCCAAGGCCGAAGAATTTCGGAGGCTCGAGGAATGCGAGGGAGTTGGAAAATTTCCTATGGAGCCTTGAGCAGTATTTCAAGGCTTCAGACATCAATGACAACAAAGTCATTTTGCGCACCGCCTCCCTTTACTTGGTCGATACAACCATGGTGTGGTGGAGGAGAAGGCAAGGTGATATAGAAAGAGGCACATGTGTGATTGACACATGGGAGGATTTCTGTAGGGAAATCAAGAGGCAATTCTACCCTGAGAATGTCGAAATGGAAGCTCGTCCTAAGCTTCGACGACTCACCCACACCGGCGGAATTCGTGAGTATGTCAAGGAGTTATCAGAATTGCTATTCGAGATCCCCGATCTTCCGGACAAGGAGGCTTTGTTTGGCTTCCTTTTCGGATTGCATCCTTGGGCGAAGTTGGAGCTCGAGAGGCGTGGAGTGCAAGATCTTGCTACTGCCTTGACAACTGCAGAAGCTCTCACGGAGTACAAGAAGAGTGAGAGGCCGAACGAGTCGAAGAACTCAAAGAGCAAAGGAGGAGGAGATCATCGGCAGCACTCCAAAGAAGGGAAAGGCTCGTACCAACATGGAGGCTCGAGCAAGGGAGCAAGATCTGGTAACTATGATAAACCCATGTCTTGTTTCCTTTGCAACGGTCCACATAAGGTGCGAGATTGCCCAAAGAAGAGCAAACTAGCAGCCTTGGAGAAACAAGAAGGGGAGACCAAGGAAAATGCTAGGGAAGATGAAGGGAAGATATGCTCCATGCGGAGGCTAGGCGCGGTGAAGTCCGACGCCAACGAAGTTAGCAAGGGGAGATTCTTTGTGATCACCCAATTCGAGGGAGGCGAGTTGAAAGCATTGGTTGACACCAGTGCGACCGATAACTTCCTTCGAGTGGAGGAGGCGGAGCGCTTGGGAATCGCTTACGAGAAGAGGAAGGATCGTTCAAGACCATCAACTCCGAGGCAATACCCATCCATGGCGTTGCTAAGAATGTGCCATTGAAGATTGAAGGTTGGGAAGGTGTTGCCGACTTCAGCGTCATCACTATGGATGATCATCCGGTCATTCTTGGCGTCAACTTCATGGAGAAGGAGGGCGCGGTGATGGCAATGAATTCCAACACTCTCTGCCTTGACAAGGGAGATAATTTTTGTGCGGTGAATATGTTGAGCGAAGAAGGGCCGAAAAAGAGATTTATCGGCCATGCAATTGGTGAAAGGAATGAAGAGGATGGAACCCACGTTCCTTGTCACTTTGCGAGCGAAGGAAGAAGGAGGCTCGGTGGCGCCAACACCTCTTATCAATGGCGTGTTGGAGGAGTTCGTGGATGTGATGCCAAAGGAGCTACCAAAGAAGCTCCCGCCAAGAAGAGAAGTCGATCACAAGATCGAGCTTGAGCCGGGGGCGACGCCACCAGCAAGAGCACCTTATCGCATGGTCCCTCCCGAGTTGGAGGAATTGAGGAAGCAACTCAAGGAGTTGATGGATGTTGGCTTCATCCAATCGTCGAAATCCCCCTATGGAGCACCCGTGTTGTTCCAGAAGAAGAAGGATGGTTCGTTGCGGATGTGCATCGACTATCGAGTTATTAACAAGCTCACGGTGAAGAACAAGTGGCCCATCCCCAATATTTGCGACTTGTTTGATCAACACGGAGAAGCAAAGTGTTTCACAAAGCTTGATCTTCGCTCGGGGTACTATCAAGTGAGGATAGCCGAGGGGGACGAGGCGAAGACGGCTTGTGTGACGAGGTATGGCTCATACGAGTTCTTAATTATGCCTTTTGGTCTAACCAACACTCCTGCTACTTTTTGCACCTTGATGAACCAAGTATTCGAGCCGTTCTTGGATCTCTTCGTGGTGGTGTACTTGGATGACATCGTGGTGTATAGCAACACACTCGATGAGCATGCCGAGCACTTACGACAAGTGTTCCAAGTCATTCGAGACAACGAGCTCTACGTCAAGAAGGAGAAGTGCACGTTTGCTACCGCAGAGGTTCCTTTCCTCGGCCACATCATTGGTGGAGGAAAACTAAAGATGAACGAAGCCAAGGTGGAAGCGATACAAGGATGGGAGCCACCAACGAGGGTCACCGAGTTGCGATCATTCCTCGGCCTGGCCAACTATTATAGGAGATTCATCAAGGGATACTCCGCTCTTGAAGCACCCTTGACGGATCTTCTAAAGAAGAACAAGGCTTGGGAATGGTCGGATCGGTGACATGAAGAATTTGAAGCCTTGAAGGATGCGGTGACGAAGGAGCCGGTGCTAGCACTTTCCGATCCAACCAAGGCGTACGAAATGAAAATGGATGCTTCCGATTTTGCAATCGGTGGAGTGTTGATGCAAGAGGGGCACCCAATTGAATTTGAGAGCCTCAAGCTCAATGAGGCCGAGAGGAGATATGCGGTGCAAGAGAAGGAGATGACGGTGGTGGTCCATTGTGTGAGAACGTGGAGGCATTACTTGCTTGGGTCGAAGTTCGTAGTAAAGACGGACGATGTGGCGATGAGTTACTTCCTCACACAGAAGAAGCTCACGCCCAAGCAAGCAAGGTGGCAAGATTTCCTCGCGGAGTTCGACTTTGTGCTGGAGTACAAGCCGGGGAAGGCCAACTTTGATGCCGATGCTCTTAGCCGAAAGAGCACACTTGCCGCCATCAGCCAGCCTCAATTTCCCTTGAAGGAGCGGATTGAAGAAGGCCTTGGGCACGACCCCTTCGCCAAAACCGTGATCGAGTACATAAAGCAAGGGAAAACTCGGCGGTTTTGGATGAAAGGTGGGCTCATCGTGACTAAGGGGGAGCAAGTGTTCATGCCGCGGTGGGACAACCTACAAAGGGAGATCATGAAGGAGTGGCACGACTCCAAGTGGGCTGGTCATCCCGGCATCGAGCGCACACAAGCTCTAATCGAGGAGGCTTACTATTGGCCTCGTATGAAGGACGACGTGGAACTCTACGTCAAGACTTGTCTTGTCTGCTAGCAAGACAAGATGGAGAAGCGGAGTCCGGCGGGCTTTTTGGAGCCATTATCCACTCCACAACGGCCTTGGGAAAGCGTTAGCATGGATTTCTTCATTGGCCTTCCCAAAGTCGAAGGGTGTGGTTCCATCATGGTTGTCGTCAACCGATTTTCGAAGTATGGCATCTTCATCGCAGGGCCCAAAGACATGACGGCCGAGGATGCAACCCGCTTGTTTTTCAAGCATGTTGTAAAGTATTGGGGCTTCCCGGTTAGCATCATCAGCGATAGAGATGTCCGCTTCACCGATAAATTTTGGAGGGAGTTGTTCAAGATGATGGGCTCCGATCTCAACTTCTCCACGAGCTTTCATCCTCAAATGGATGGGCAAACCGAGTGGGTCAATGCTTTGGTGGAATTCTACTTGAGGCATTATGTGAGTGCAAACCAGAAGGATTGGGTGAAACTATTGGATGTAGCCCAATTTTCCTACAACTTACACCAAAGTGAAGCCACGAGCATGACCCCCTTCGAGTTGGCTACCGGGCAACAGCTGTGCGGGGAACAAGGGAAACAGTCCATCTGCCTACAAGTTTGCACGAGGTTGGCACGACAAGATGGAGTTGGCTAAGTCTTATCTCGCTCGAGCAAAGAAGAAGATGAAGAAGTGGGTGCATAAGAAGCGGCGTCACTTGGAATTCTAGGAGGGAGACTTGGTGATGGTGAAGTTCTTCCCTCATCGATTCAAGCACCTCAAAAATATGCATAAGGGGTTGTTGCGACGATATGAAGGGCCATATCCGATCTTGAAGCGGATTGGCACGGCGATGTACAAAGTTGAGTTTCCATCGCACTTGGAGATTCACCCCGTCTTCCATGTGAGTCAATTGAAGACATATCATGAAGACAAGGAAGATGGAGCGCGGAAGGAGTCGACGAGGGCACCAACTCTCGTCACCACAACACATGAGCACGAAGTGGAAGAGATCATGGCTCATCGTGTTGTTCCTAGGCGTGGTGTTCACCCAAGCTACGCGGAATATCTTGTCAAGTGGAAGGGGCGGCCAGAAAGCGACATCACTTGGGAGAAGGAGCTTTCGCTTTGGCGCCATAAAGACTTCATCGAGGCATTTCATGCGGAGTACGCGATGAGGGCGTCGCGAGATTGAGTGGGGGAGAATGTTACACGGAAGATTCTAGAGCATTCTAGACGGATGTAGGTACATGCATGCATCTTCCAATTCATGCACCAATATACATGCATCCCCCTTATCTATCTTTATTCATGCACCTTATTAATTACATTCATGTATGGGCAAGTTCATGTATGGGGGGACTTCTAGGTTCGTTCATTTATGACGGCCATATACATTGTACTTAATGGAGAGGATGCCTATATAAGCAGCCCTCCCCCTCATTTGTCATTCATCCAGAAATAAGAGAGCTTTCCATCTCTGGAGTTTTCTCTACACTTGTGAGTTTGAGTGAATACGAGCAAGGGTGACTTAGCGCTCTAACGAGACTTGAGTGCTAAGTGCCGCACGGCCAAGAGTTGGTCCGTGAGAGGACCGACTCAAGTTCTTCCTCCGATATGGTCGATTACTCTCTTTCAGTTTCTCCGACGTTTCGTCTTCTTTACTCTGGGTGGGATCTCCGTTTTCTCGAATTCTCTTAGCTTCAAGAACCAAACAGGCAACAACAAGTCTCATCCAAACGACAACTATTTCTCGGATAATAGTATAATACCATTCAAAGCCCCTATACTATGCTTGTGTAACAAATAAGTTCCTATGCTAACGTTGTTAATAACATAGGTCCACCATGTATGTACTCCTTCCAAATCTTGTTGCCAAATCGTTAAACTTGAGGCCAACAGTAGGGATTGCAATTTCGATCTGATCCATTTACCCGATCTGTTTGGCCTGTTTTGATCCGCCCCGTAGGCGCGACAGGGCGGGCATGGGTACTCTCATCGACCCGACCTGCCCTGACCCACCCCATTCTTGACCTGTTCTTGCCTACATTTCATGTAATCTTAGTAAAATTACTTACGATTTTTTTATTACATCATAGTTTAGCTACAATAAAGTTGTAAATTAGTGAAAACCTCAATTTATCTAATAATTTAACTACATTTACCATAATATTGTTTATTTTCTTGGTCTTATTAAAAAACAACGAATATTTCTAATATTTTTCATATAAATTGCATACCCATTGGGTCGACCTGCCTCCAACCCGTGACCCGTGATAAATTATCCGACCTGCCACGGAGCGGGTCTGAGTACCAAGAAATCCGCCCGGACCTGCCCATGGCCATTCCTAGTCAACGGGTGAGATTAGGCAGCATTGTTTGTTGAATATAGGAACATTTTATCCACTTTTGCCCTCAATTAATTAAAGCATCCATAAAAAAGGTAATGACTAATGAGAGTCAATGATGTCTCTTATCCGCTCTAAACAGACAAATAAATTACAAAGAAGAGAAGAGATAAATGACATATGAGATTGTGATTTTAGTTCCTAGCCCTAGTAGCCACAAATCTATAAATTTATTTATGAAAATTGTAGTTCTCTTCACTTCATTCGACCAAGGTTCTTGTGCAATAACACCAATCATGTGCAAAACTTGCACATTTGACTAGCATAACTCCAACAAAGAAAACGAGGTGTCTCATAGACTTTGTAACATATTGCTTAGTGCGGAGCTAGAAATTCGAATGAGGGGGCTAAAAATTTATGCACGGAAAATTCGAATTGCCGAGGAGAAGCTAACTCTTTATCAACTACTATATTTTGTCAATTTATTACATGATTTTACATGATTTTGAGAGTTGAGTGGGTCTATAGCCTCCCATGTCATTAAAGTAGCTCTGCCACTGATATTGCTGATGTTACTAACTTTTTTTTTTTTTTGGTAGAAAAGATGTTACTAACTTTACTGCTATGAAAAATAACGAAATGTTATACTTCCACCACAAAACACCATAATATAAAGAGATTGTTCGAGCCAAGGAGATCCTTAAGGCACCATCTCGAGCACTTGCAACCACAGCCCTCGAGGCCTAGACTAGGAAGGATTAAACCTCCATGCAAATGTTGCCCTGAATACCTGTCCTAACACGAACTTAAGTTTTAAGTGCCAGCTCCAGCCTAGACTGGTATCCATTGATCAAGAGTTCATTGCATTGATCTAAACAATACTCTAATATGCAGATGATATGTATGTTGAGGTAGGATCAACCATATTTGTTATCTGAGAGAGTAGAGAAGGAACATGTAGTCATGTAGAGAGATAGGTTTTGACTTTTGAGAGAGAAATGACCACGTGTTTGTGGCGATCTCTTGTTTAGATTGCAAAAGAGCCCTTGTATTGGAAGGGTTTAGACTTTAGAGACCCTTCAATTTTCATAGAGACTCCACTCAATAAATTTGGACCTCGAAGTCTTCACGACACCACAATAAAACTTCAACATCGATTCAAACTATTTTTCTTAAGTTCGTTTGTCATGGACTTTCAAAATGGAAAAGTATTTGTTCTTCACAATTGTTCCTCATTCTAATACCCACACTGATAGAAGTCATATAAATGTTGCAAACTCTACCGGAAGACTCATAAGATATGGCGGGCTCAAATCTTTTGCCTCTTACGATGCTTATTGCTTATAAACTGCTCTCCCTTTTCATCTCTTCTCGAGGCAAACAAGAATTATATGACAAACAAGGTTACTATCCAACTTCATTGGGTCAATCAACGATATGGAGGCCTATTCATTCTAAAAAAAGTGATTAAGGTTTACGCATGGAGCTTTCAACAACTCAAGTTATTGAGAAAATTCGATTCTTCTCCAATCCAAACACGGCTAGAAATGGTGCATCTCAACGAAATGACTTTTTTTTTTTTTTACTTGGGAGACATGTCACATATGCACATGAAGTATGATTCTATAGAATCTTTATGCAAAATCCAGTGTGGAAAATTATATGCTACGAAGTAATTGAAATCACAACCTTCTATTTGTATATATGACTATCCATCACTCAAGCTGCAGGTAAAGTGCAAGTTATCTTCTCCTTGACCTTTCCACGTCACCGTCCGCTCCATGCCTGGTTTGGTGAGTTGTCCTGTTTCTGCTGGCCATTGATCCATCTGGAGGAAGAGACTCTCTGTCCTTCATGGATCTCAGTTCCTGCAATGTACAAAGCCAAGTCTAAGAAAAGAAACTTGCAATCTTTCTATTCTCGTTCCTAACGAAAATGAAAGGATACCCGATCTTATTAACTTCTGAAAGTAACGGATCTCTCAACACTTAGCTTCATAATCAAGTTGTTTGACCTTTATCTAGTAAGGTTTTGTCAGAAACGGTATTGTAGTAGAAGATCAAGTTTCCTAGGACATCTCTTTGTCATAATCAGCAGATCATGACAGAGCCCTCAAATATCTAATGAACCAGCAATGCACGCAAAGACTCGATATTCTGACTTCATATCGAATGAACAACCATGTTTGGTACAATTCATTTTCATGGCTGAACGTTGAAACTAAGCAAGAGGACTGGAAGTGAGAAAGAAGACTTACGCCGCGGAAAGGGAAGTCATCGGCTTCGAGCATATGAACAATCTGGCTCATCTTTGGTCTTTTACAGGCATCCAAATCTATGCACCGAAGACAGACCAACAGGGCTCTTTTCAGAGCTCTTGGAGCTGGCTGGATTTCGATAAGAGGGTCCACGAGCTCTTCACCCCGTCGGCTTGCCACCATCCCCTTAAACCAATCTACCAAATTCATCTGCTGCAAAAGTTCAAAGAACTGATCATGTCATTACTCTATTCTCATATGAATCCTTATCAAACCTTTGTAGAACGAAAATAAAAATCTATTTATGATCACCTCGCCGGCTGGTCTGGAGTAGTCAATAGGACTCCTTCCTGTGATGATCTCCATCAGCAGAACACCAAAACTATAGACATCGCTTCCTTCGTTTAGCATTCCTGTGCTTGCATAATCAGGAGATACATATCTGCAGACAGCCACATAGGTGTGAATGAATAACAAAATACTACCAATTCTGTCACTAATGTTCTTCTGAATAACTGAATGACACAAGTCCTCATAGTAGAAGGAATGAGGTACAAACCCGAATGTCCCCATAACGCGAGTAGTCACATAGCTTGCCTCAGAACCCAGGAGCTTTGCCAATCCAAAGTCTGAAACTTTTGCATTCCACTTCCTATCCAGAAGAATGTTGCTGGATTTCACGTCACGATGCACCACCTTAGGTTCTAAGCCTTCATGTAAATAGGCTAGCCTAATGGAACAGACAATTGAGAAACCCATTTTGTTAAATTAGTTTTCTTCATCCTATTTAACCAACAAGAACACTGAATGAAGAGATCCAGACCCAGAACTGGCATTACCCTTTTGCAGTCCCAATGGCAATCTTCATCCGAATGTCCCAGCTCAACGGGCTAACCGGTCCATCAACTCCATGTAACCACTGCTCCAAGTTGCCATTGTCAACATACTCATACACAAGCATCCTGAAGAATCACAGGTGAATTGGTTGCAGATGGTTTCATTTACAGCGAAAAGAATTCCTGAAATGAGACTGCAAATTACCTGCGAGGGCCATCAGCGCAATAACCAATTAGACCAACAAGATTCTTATGCCTCACTCTGCCAATGGCTTCCACTTCCACCGTGAACTCCCTCCCTGCCTGCCCTCTGCAAAAACAACAATTCCCAAAGAAGGGCAATGATTATGAGTCGAGGAAAGTGAGGGAAAGTGAAAGGATTAGGATTGCCATGGCGCCCTGACAAGAAAAAAGGGAGAAAAGAAACAAAAGAGAAAGAGTAAAAGCCAAAGCTGATGGACCAAATACCCAAAATTACAACCAGCTCCCACCGACACACTTGAGAAAAATGAATCTATACTCAAACTCTCACTTGTTATTGAGGAGGTTCTTGACGGCGACGACGGAGCCGTCGGTCAACACACCCCTGTAAACGACGCCGTATCCACCTTCCCCGATCACATTCTCCTCCGCGAAGCCACGCGTCGCAATCTCCAGCTCCTTCAAGCTGTACCACCGCCCCCAGCCCTCCACCGACACGTCCCTGCCGGAGACAACATCTCCTCCTCCGCCTCCGCCGCCGCCGGCGACGGCGGCCTTCTTCTTCCCTCTTCCAACTTGTTTATCGCCGCTTCCACCAATTTCCTCGTCCTCCTTCCCGCAAACAACGGCGGTTTCGCAGGCGAGCTTAGTCTGCACGCTTGCTTCGAGATCCAAGGCCTTGATCTCGAGGATTTCCTTGGATACGAGCGGGATCGAGCCGGAGCTGTGCTTCACGCGCATCCTGCCGCGTCTCCTCGACTCGCGGGTCAACCGGACGCAGAGGCAGACAGTCAAGCACACCAAGATTACGCAGCCGGCGACGATTCCGATCAGCACGTAGAGCCTCAGTTTCAGGAACGGCGTCGTCGAACTCAGGGAGCTTCCGGCAACCGACATGGCCTGCCAGGCGGCGGTTGAGTGAAATGGGTTTGTTGGGATGAAGAGGCGAAAGGGGGGAAATGGCGTTTGGTTCAGATGTTGGGTTGGGAGAGGAGGGTGGGTTTTAGAAGGGGAGATGGAGTAGAGTGAGGGAGACAGGGAGTGGGGTTCCAACGGATATAAGAAAGCAAAAGGGGGAGAAGAGAAAGCTACAAAAGAAAACTAGGGAGTAGAGTGAAGAAGACAAACAATGCGGATAGGGAGAGGGACCTTTTCACTGTTTTCCTGGTTTTGATTTGTAATTTTTTTTTTCTTCTTCTAAAAATCTACTGTCGAATCGAAAAATGGCTCTGCGCTCTTCGAATCTGGGCCTTGGCAAAGGCAAAGGGAAGAAGAAGACAGATAGAAGGTTCTTCTTCCTGGTATTTATTGTTATCAGTTGTTTGTTTAAACTTTAAATTCATTTATCGGCGCCCCGTTTCGCTTGTACCGTAGGTTTGTGACAGAAAGTCAGAAACTCGAATTCGATTTCATGCTCTCCAATCTCCATCGTTAACAATGTGCACATTAACTTTTTTTTTTTTTTTTACAAGGAATGTGCACATTAACTTGGTGGATGAGGTGGCTAAAAAAAACAGTGAATACATATTTAAAGATATCGATTTACATTTTCTTCATCATTAACATTTAACGGAGACAATTCGTTCATGATCAAGTGTCTGATGAAGTATGTTAATCACACCACCTTAATTTGGTTTCGTAGTAGATTATCCCGGAAAGTTACGGTTGAACATGTTTGTAAGTATGCTAATTTGATAGATAATCATGTAGCCTCATTTGGACACTCGTTGCTCATAGGCGGATGTGCATATTTTTCAGTGACCTTGTAGTTCACTTGCGTATTGTATTATAAGAAGATTGGCTTTGGGTTGTTACTCCCATGCCATGTCAATTGACGAATAATGATTGTGGCACTTTTTATGCACTCCATTTTCTTTTCACAAAAATGTATTCATGTCATCGTGTCATATTTAGCACTTAAAAGGGTTTCAACAAATGTTGAGTGTGGTGTGTAGAGCTGCTCACATTGATATTGTCATATGGTTTTTTTCGGTCCACTTAATCAATTCTTGTCAATTAAAAGTTAACTTACCATTTAAACTTTATATTTAATTTTTCGGTCCATGCTACTACGAGTAGGGGCGGGTATGACTCGCGTGGGTATGGGGTGGGGCGGGTCGACCCACTCTTATATGCTATTTAAAAAAAATACAAACAAAATTTTACTTTTTACAATAAAATGAAGGGGAAAGGCTTCATGAATGAATAATAGTGATAATATAATGGGCAATTGGGTCTATTTAATTGAAAGATCAAGTCTAACTAGTTGAAGAAAAGCCAAAATAGGAGATATATGAATGGATGGTGTAACCGTGTAAGAAATTGACCTAGAACGGGCCAAGAATGGGGCGGGGCGGGGCAGGGCGGGTCAGAAGTTGATACCCATGCCCCGCCCCATGCTACTGTCGGTCGCCCCATCGCGGGTCAGGTCGGGTAATACTCGGCGGGGCGGGTTCAAATTGTCATCCCTAGTTAAGGGATATTATAGTTGGAGTGGAGGCTTCTGTAGCCTCAGTCTGTCCGCGGTGGTCACCAGTAGGGATGGCAATGGGTCGGGTTGGGATGGGTTTTGTCAAACCCAAATCCAAATCCATGGGTTTATCCGCCAAAAAAATCCGAGGTAAAACTCGTTGGGTTTAAAAAACTCAAATCCAACCCGCTGGGTATCCGCGGGTTCATGGGTATCCGTGGGTTTTTTGTGGTAAAAAATTTACAATAACAAGTTTCTTTCAAAATACAAGTTTAACATCAATTTTCTCATACAAAAAAACACCAATCTATAGCATACAAGCAAACCGCAAATGATCAATACAAATTGTTCAAAATTAAAGATAAACGTCTATAAACAATAAGATTAGTTGAAAGCTTCTTCCTCGTCAACTAAGTTTCTTCACTGTCCACTACATAATATCAACTTCATTCTAAACAATTAGAAAGAACAAATTATACATGTCTCCACAAACATAAATCAAATTAGTTGTTTAAGGAAGATATTTTATTTAGAATATCAAATATAGCGGGAAAGTAATTATATGTGTGTGGACGGGTACCCATGAGGCGGGTTTACCTAAATCCAAACACAACCCGACCCGGTGAATAGTGTAGCGGGTTTAAACCCGAACCCGGCCCAAAACCCGTCAACACGGGTCTACCCACGTTGACCAGGTTGGGTAGGGTGGGTACCCGTGGGTTTGGATTTTGTTGCCATCCCTAGACTCACCAGCAGAATCTTGTTCCCCAATTTACTCATTTGATTTTAAGGATTATTTATACAATTTGTATCTCTCTTATTTTCCATTTATTCTTAGTACCTAATATCGTATCGGAAGTTGTATGAAAAAAGTGAGTAATATGATATTTTTTTATATTGAAATTTGAATTTAATCGTGATTTTCTTCAAAACATCTCAGTTTGAATTTGTGACGCTGTTGGATGATTTTGGAAGATTTCATCGGTTGGCATTTGATGGCATTCAAGTGAGGAGGAGCGCTTAGTATTCCCATTAAATACTCTCATGCACAATTTATGATATCTCGCAATTCATATTGTTTTTCTCGTTTGATTTTGGATAGGGATGACAATGGGTTGTGTCGGGGACGGATAGTGCATATCCGTTACCCTACCCAAAGTAGTTCGGGTTTTACCCATACCCATACCCACATGTGAAACAGGTAGAAAATTAAAACCATGCCCATACATGTTCGTGTTTCGGGTACCCACGGTTATCCATGGGTAATAATTTATCTTCATAACTCCAACCAATATGTTAACATTCACACGTATTCTCACATTATTTAAGAGGAAAGTACGACAATAGTTCACTAGAATGAACAAAATTAATTAAAACAACACAATTTCATGAAAATATTATATTTATATGCTAAATATAAAATCTGTTAGAGAAAAGTAATGATTATTTCTAGACAAAATACATATGCATTTGTATAATCGGGCGGGTTCGGATTGGATAGTGAAAAACCCATGCCCACCCATTACCCGTAATATTCGGGTTCGGGTTTTACCCATACCCACTAAGTGTCCTACGGGTTCGATTTTACCCTACCCGATTAGGCCGGATTCGGACGGATATCCACGATTACAGATATTTTTGCCATCCCTAATTTTGGAGCTATTATTATAGCTTTGGACTCCTATACAGTGCTAAATTACATGCTAATATTATTCTCCAATTCTTTGGGTAGACTACTAGACTCAAAAGTATTGAAAAATTCGGGGGTCGGTTAGCATGCTAACCCTCCTTATGGTTGGAAAAATGACACCCACTAGGGTATTAAATACAACTATAGAATTTAATACACACATTAAATACACATTAGGAATTAAATGCACCATATTAATTATTTATTTTTTTCAAATTAAAATCTACACTAAATACATTCTCTCTTCTTATATCTAATTTTTTATTTTTCAGCAGTCTCCGACCACCAGACTTCCTCCGACCGCCACTTCTCCGGTGAAAATCTCATCGATAGACTCCCTCCGACCACCTACAAAAAATATACCACTGCACTGATACGTTGTACCACTGCACTGGTAGCGATATCAGTGCACTGGTACCAATGTCATATCTGAGTATCAGTGCAGTGGTACAAATATCAGTACAATGATACAACATATCAGTGCAATAACATATTTTCGCAGGTGACCGGAGAAAGTCTACCTACGGGATTTTACCGCGCGAAGTGTGGTGGTCGGAGATTGCTGGGAAAGGAAGAATCAGACATAGGAGTGAGAAAGATCAAAGATGAGAGAGAAAATTGTATTTTGTATATGTTTAGATTTTTTTAAAAGACAATTAATTAATGTGGTGTATTTAATGCTGACTTTGTATTTAATAACAGAACATTTATTATGTCTATCTTCATTAATACTTGTAAATGATTAATGGAAAAATTGACCAATTGAGAAGGGGTGTCAAAAAACCAACCCTTTTAAGGGTAGACATAGTATCCTACCCCAAAAATTCGTCCAAAATGGTGGAGACCACAATTTTTGGTGTCTTTCTTATCCCTAGAAAGAGAATATTAGGTGGTTTCGATGCAACATATTAGTTCCGTGGTATTTCGAATCAAAATGTTGCATTAGTTTAGAATGTGACATTTCAGTTTGTGTTGTGATAATTGGATTCTAATTATTTTGTTTGGATTGACCATTCTTATATTGTGTTATTTCATCGCTCAAGTGGGAAAAAAGGCTTCCACTAGATGAGTGAGATGACATTTCAAACAACTCATAATGAATTATTTCAATTGTATAATAGGATAATACCAATTTTTTTTTCAAATGGGTGTACCTCACTGAAAATATGAAATGTTGTATGCAAACGACTTGTATAAAGACTTGAAATGAACAACATGTTTGATATTTTATTGTTTTTAATTCTTTTATTATTCAATACAAATTGCATTAGCATTACAATCATTCATGCCAAATATTATATTTTGATATTACATGAAATCTTGCCATCACATACCTATAAAATGCATGATATCTTCATGGGGTTAATTGCATGGTGGGTCACTGAGATTACAAAAAACGTTCAAGTTTGGTCACTCAAAATATTTAAATCCATTGGTGGTACTCCAGTTTACTGAAACCATTCACGTTTGGTCACTCTCCGTCCAAATCCGTTAACTTTTGCTTACGTGGCAGTCAACTCTAAAAGTTGATGATGGATTTGCAAAGCAATCGGACCTCGTAAGCCGCCTTGTTCTTCTCCTCTGCAGTTCCGAAGACCAGCATCCTTGCAAGAAACCTGGATAGGAATCTCATCGCCGCGATGGCGAAATTGCTTCTCGGATTTATGGTTCTGGCAATGTTCGAGCCGCCTTGGGTTGCGGTTGCGGCTGTCGACGACGACGACAGAGAGATGCCGTGATCAATTGAGCTCGTGACGAATTCTGGGTTGGTTGTGGCTAACTGGCTATTAAGGTCTGCAATCGATGCGGTCGGTGCGTGGCGGGAAAGAGCACTGCATTTCGATCTTGTGGTCTCTGTGCAAGAATGGCGGAGTGGAAGTGGTGCAATAATTTATAATTTTATTTTTATCTTTTTAATAGTTAGAAATGAGGTGGAAGTTTTAGAAAAAAATAAATTTTATTTATTTAATTATTTTTTAATTGACACATCACACATTTAACGGTCAAATTTTAGAGTTGACTACCACGTAAGCAAAAATTAACGGAGTTGGACGCGGTTTTAGTAAACTGAAGTACCACCAATGAATTTAAATATTTTAAGTGACCAAATTTGAACGTTTTTTGTAATCTCAGCGACCAACCATGCAATTAACCCTATCTTCATGTATTCTAAAATACTTCTACTCTTCACTACCCGAGAAACGTGGGCCTTTGGGCCTGTGGGGACCGACTATCCTGGACCTGACATTATTTCCTGGGCCTTAGGTTTTGTTGATTGTAGTATTGCTGATCCAGTTTGTTCTTCGGGTGGTCTTGTAGTTGCGTGGAATTCTGATGTTTCAGTTTCGTTTCTTTGTAAAGACTATTATTATATTGCTTTGCGTTTTAGTGTTGGTAATTGATTGTGTGCTGGTTTTTGTCTATCTCTCGTGTGACGACTCTATTTGGCGGACGCAAATCAATTATTTAGCTTCCTATTATTCTCTTCTTGTTGTTCTGTATATGGTGTTTGGAGATTTTAATGAAATCTTACATTCGAATGAGAAAATAGGAGACATGCCTTTTGATATTAACAGATCTTGGCCCTTCCGAAAATTTGTGGATGATTTAGGTTTAATGGATATAGGTTTTACAGGTCCTCGGTTCACTTGGTCTAATCGTCATTCTAATGATTCTAATGATAATGTGGCTTGACACTTGGCCACATTACTCGGTACAACATCTTTCAGATGAAGGAAGTGATCATAGAGCTATGTGGTTCAAATGGACTGGTGATTGCTGCCAGGTAAGCCTTTGTTCAGGTTTGATGCTCGTTGGAAAGAAAATTCTGAAGCTATTAACATTGTGAAAGAGGTATGGGCTACATCTGTTTCTGGTTCTCCGTGTTTTCAACTTTGGAGCTGGATGAACCATGCTCGCCATAAATTGTTTCAATGGTGTAAGGACGGAACAACTAATTCAGCACGAACTATAAGGACTTTGTGTGGGGAGTCATCTCAGATCCGCAATTCTTATCCCGTTAACTGGACTGAACTTAGTAGGATTGAATCCGAGTTGGCCAAGGCTTGGGCTGCTGAAGAGCTCTATTAGCGACAAAGATCAAGACAGAACTGGCTTCGTGGTGGAGATCGCAACACAAATTACTTTCACAATGTTACTCGTGCACGACAACGTCGCAACAGGATTCATGGTTTGTACAATTCAGCTGACGAATGGGTAAGTGATGAGCCAGGAAAACAACAGGTAATGGTTGATTTTTATAAGAATCTTTTCACTTCAGAGCATACTGATCCTGAGTTTGCTGCTCGAGTTGATTCAAGGGTGTCTGAGTTACCCTTACCTCCTTTAGTCACTCCTGCTATGAACCTTATTTTAACAGCCAAAGTTTCTGCAGAGGAAATTAAAAATTCTTTCATTTGGGAGAGTTCAGTTCTCCGGGATCATATGGTTTCACTGGGTGCTTCTTCAAGTCTTTCTGGATATTTGTGGGTGAGAGTGTCATTAAGGCTGTCAAATCCTTTTTCCAGTCTAGTAAACTTCTTAAGAATATGAATCACACTTGGATTACTCCTATTCCAAAAGTTGAAATGGTTGAAAGAGCTTCTCAATTGCGTCCTATCAGTCTCTGCCAATTCTTGTACAAGGTGATAACGAAAATTCTCGCTACAAGGTTGGGTTCTATTCTTCCCGATTTAATCTCCCCAGAGCATAATGGTTTTGTTCAGGAAAGACAGATTGTTGATAATGTTTTAGTAGCTCGTGAACTGGTTCATTTCATAAAAAAACAAAAGACTGGGCCGGGAAAAGTTTATGGCTCTGAAACTGGACATGGAGAAGGCTTACGATAGAATCGAATGACCTTATTTATTTTCCATCCTCAGGAAATTGGGTTTCTCTTCCACTTGGATTCACTGGATTAGGGAATGCATCACAACAGCTACCTTCTCTGTAATGGTGAATGGTTATCCGACTGGTTATTTCCCTTCCTCCCGTGGTTTACGTCAAGGTGACCCATTATCTCCATTACTGTTTACTATATGTTTGGAAGGATTCACTGTGATGATTAAATGAGCTATTTCAAGGCATGAAATCCATGGGGTTAGAATCAATGCTCGGTGTCCATCGGTTTCCCATCTTTTGTTCGCAGATGATTCTTTCCTATTACTCTGGGCTTCGCAAAGGGATACTTCTTTCCTTCTTCGGGTCCTCCGAGATTATGAAAGTATCAGTGGTCAGAGAGTTAATCTCCAAAAATCTGCTGTGTATTGCAGTCCTAATATGCTAGTCAGAACAGGAAGAGCTGGGTTCTTTTCTTGGAGTTGGGTAGATTGGTCTGCAAGATAGATACTTAGGTTTGCCCTCTCTTTTTGGGAGATCGAAGATGGAGACTTTTCGTTTTGTGGAAGAAAAATTGTTATCTGTTCTTCAAGGTTGGAAACAGTGAAGTCTGTCTACTGCCGCCAAAGAGGTTCTCATCAAGTCTGTAGCAGCTGCCCTACCCATTTATATAAGAGGCCAGATTCGAGTCTCCCAGGCAAAACATGGCTTGTTCGAGTTCGTACTGCCAAACACAGAATCTAAAATCTGGGTTCTAAAGCGAACCCCCTGGGTTGTGCGAGATGCTCTCATCAATCTGCGATCATGGACACCATCTGTCACCAAAACAACTTTTGATGATCTGGCCATCGCACCGTTTCGTATTCAACTCTGGGTGATTAAGGAAGATTGTTGCACTAAACAGTTCGGGCAAAAATGGATAGCCCCAACCATTGGCCAAGTCTTGGAAGCCGGGGTTTTCGCCAGCAAAGAGACCTCAGAATATTTTGTCAAGGTTCGCGCCATGGTTGATTTTGCGAAGCCCTTGAGGTCTCAACTCTTTGCGGCTAGCGAGGAGATTGGGGGTTTTGGGTATCGCTCAAGTACGAGTTTTTGCCGAGCTTTTGCTTCCACTGCGGGAGAGTGGGCCATATGCAACGTGAGTGTGTATATGATCCCCCGAACAGAAAAGAAAAGTTTGGTCCCCATATGGTCTCTAAGAAACCGGGACAACGAATCTATGAAGAAGATGAACCTTCTCAAACTTTTGATGGAGCCCCGAAGACAGTCTGGATTAACAAGGCAATTCGCGAAACCTCGTAAGCGCTTGTCCCAAAATAAATGCGTGGAGGTAGGGGGTGCTCTCACGAGGGCGGCCAAATTAAAGGGCCAAATGCATGGTTCCCTCGCCCCGTGACACTGACCCGATAATTGCTGCTGATTTTCTTGGTGGAGGCGCCCCGGAGGAGACTGCGTCGTTGAACTCCCTTTCGGAGGATGATGCGGGTGTTCTTGAGATAAAGCAACGTGGGCCAGGGGTTGGCGGGTCTCGTTGTGATGGAATTATGAAGGGCCGTGTCCGGAAAGTGGTTGATGCTTTTTTTGAATCAGGCCTTAACATTACTACGAAGGGTATATCCCCTGCTGGTGTGAAGACGGGGGGTCACTCTTCGGGAGAAGGGGGTACATCGAGCTCTACTTTGGATGAGTATGGCTCGAACCTTTTGGACCCGGTGATTGGGAAGAGGAAGAGACCTTTGGTCGAGGTTGAAGGGGGCCTGGAAGAGTCACCCACACCCAAAAAACAGTTTGTGGAAGAAAAGGAGATGAATGAATTGGTGGAGGAAGCCAGCCGTGAATGGCCCCACCCGGATAAATGAGGCTTTTGGCCTGGAATGGGAGGGGAATTGGACCATCACTCACATTCCAAACTGTTGTAGGTTTAGTTCATTCGAATAAACCGGATCTTGTGTTATTCTCGGAGACACGATCGGGCCGGTGACACGCTAAAACACCAGTGGCGGATCCAGGGGTTGGCCACCCCGGGCCCTGGCCCAGCCCTCCTCTGGAATGAGTCCCCCTAGCTCCTTAGTTAGGTCACAGTTGTAATTACCCTGGGTTGATTAACTATTGATTAAACTGCGAAAGATCTAATAGTAGCTTGAAATCTCTTAAGCTGACCAAGCCCTTTCAGTCCAACTACCCGGCAGACGACTAGTCTTCACCGGGATAGAAAGCTGAGGCTATGAACGCAGAACTCCACTACTGGAATTGGATTCCAGTTCAAAGCAGTAAATCGATTACTCTCGTATAATCAATCTACCACTACCGATTGATGAAGCTCTAACAACCTAATCAGATTCTATCTATCTCAAGTTGCAGCAGAAATCAAGAAAAGATTATCAGACTTCAATTGACTCAATAAATCATGCATCAATCGATTAAAATCAATCAATATAACAATCCCAAGTTATTACAATCAAGATCCCTAACACATGGAACTAGGGTTCTTCATACCCAAGTGAGAGAAAGTTCTACTCCATAGAGAGAGAGAGGAAAATAGAAATCAGAGTAGTCATACTCATAAAGATGAGAAAAATCTGCTATGGGATGTCAATCTTCACTCCTGGGGATGCAATCTGGGCTTCAATGGTGAGAAATCCACTCCAAATAGCTCCTAGGGTTTGTTCTTCGCACTTTCTCTCTCTAAAACTCTGTTTTTGCTCCAAAAAGTCGACTCCCTCTCCTTTGGCTCGAATCTGCCTAAAAAACCCGATTCTGGGCGAAATACCGGCTGAATTACGGTCGTAAAAAAGGTCTGCCCGTAATTCGCCCAAAACGCGCGTTTCACTTAACAATGATGAGAGCAAATATGGTCGTAATTACCAAATTACTGCCAGTATTTGTGGAATTACGACCGTAGTTGCTTTGATTCTTGCCCGTAAATTGCTCTACGACAGAAATTCTCAAGAATTTGGCTCGGCATTGCATTTACGGGCAGGGCAGAGGCAATTACGCCCGTAATTGGGCAGGGGATGCCCGTATTTCTTCCTCCGCTCCTGTTTAATGTTTTGTTTCTCCCTCGTCCGGACTCCGAATCAGTCGTTGTTTGATCCCAGACGCTCGTAGTCTCGTCCTCTTTCTTTTCATAACAAACTTCCATGTTTACTTGTCCATAATATGAGGTAGAAGTCCATTATTCCTCAGGTCATGGTTGTGTTTCTTCTCCCGAATTGCCAAATGGATTCATATTGACTTGAAACTTGCGCCTTTGCTTCAATTTACATACTAGGACCTGAAATGTGACAAAGGAACACAACCTAGCGTAAAATAGGCCAAGACACCACAAGTTTGGGCCAAAATGGTTAAGAAACAAGGGTGCAAACATGTACAAATACGATGCTATCAAATTCCCCCACACTTAACTGTTTGCTTGTCCCCAAGCAAACCAAGTCAGATACAAGGAAAGCTCAACTCTTTTCAATCATGCAACCCTTGGGGACATATCATATAGGCACGAAACACGGGAATCATACTTTCTTTTAGACATCAACACATGAACAACTTAACAACAACCTGGACAACCACCACAGAGGACATTCGAGTGCACCAAAATCGGGTAAAGGAGGAGTCTCCCTTCTGTTCATCAACCAACATAGACTTGACTCAACCACTTACTCAAGACAGTCACCTTATGCACAAAACTCAAGATATCATAATTGAGACCGAGCAATCTCGGTCCTCACCGGGGTAAAGAGTATAGAGAATATGAGAAAATGAATCGCTCACTCTCGACCAGTGGGGTCAGGACAATTTGATGCGGAAAATGTGCATGCTTATTCTCTCAATCCCTAACATCTCTTCACCATGAAGGCAACCTCTAAATGTTAGAGTTCACATATGGGGTGTCATCACTAACTAATCCGAAGGTCTTAGACACAGGTTTAGATGACTGGCTAGGATCTTGGACATGGGGAAAAGGCCTTTTAGGTGGTGGAAGTATTCATAGCACAAGGTTCCACAGTTCCGAACCCAACACAATCACAGTCAATCAAACCACTTACTTTCTTTCTGCCATTCTGCATTACTCAAGTTCTTTAGAGCACAAGAGCGAAGGAGGTCACAATAATGTTAGTATTTCCAGGCCAGACTGCTAAGAAACACTACTTAATGGTAGGGCTGGTATTCGGTAAACCGGTATTCGGTATAACCGGGTACCGAACCGGTTACAATCGATATTCGGTATACCGAATACCGGCGGTATCGGTATTCGGCTGCACTTCTTGGCCAGTCGGTATACCGAATACCGATTAGTTATATACCGAATACCGAATTTAACTAATTACTAATTAACTAATTACTAATTACTATTAACTAATAGTGAATTGTTGATTAATAAAACTTGCTAGACGATAGCAATATAATATAATAATAATTAATAAACAAACAAAATTATTTACATTATTTAATTAAACAACATTCAAAAAAATTAAAAGAACAAAAAGCCCAAATCAGCCCACTCGGTATCGGTATTAAGTCGGTATACCGGCTCAAAAACATAATCTCAATGCATTAACCGGTATTTGGTATACCGGTATTAATACCGGATACCGACTATTTGGTATTCGGTATCAGTATTCGATGGGTACACTGTCTGGTTCCGGTATACCAAATACAGACCGATTACCAGCCCTACTTAATGGGCACTATTTTGATTTTTTGGTAGTGGATCTCTTTTGCTTTCATTCATCTTTTTTTTTCTTTTTTTTTTCATTTCTTGAGAGAACCACCACCTATGCACATTTTTCAAACACATGCCCAAATTTTTAAGAACTACCTCCAACCCTCACATTATTTTTAGCAGAAACAGCAGAGAACATGCAAAAACCACTCCGTGGAACCTTCTAAGAGATACAAAAGGGTGATTTTCCATTACAAACCGAAAGAAAGAAAGTGACACGGCTCAAAGGGGCTGACTAGGGGGTATGTCACGCCAGGACAATCAATTTGGCCGTGGACTAATCCTATGCCTCCATCATCTTAGCTAATGACAACGTGAATGCTATACATTTTGGAAGAGGGAACTATCGCACAAGAAAGAAACGAGCAGGCTCAAATCTCACATGGCTACCTATTTGCTCTATCTCTCATTCTGATTCCCTGAACTAGATGCATAAACGACTGTCAAGAGCAAGTGATCAAACCAAGTCATAGTTGGTAACCTTCCAGTTGAAAAACTGAACCCCTACACAATTCTACTGCACGTCTCAGTCATCTTTATAGGTTGTCCTAGTCATAATCCAGTTGTCATGCATTAATTTGAAAGCCATCCAAAGCAAACAGCAGTACTTGGAGCCCTCAAATCTCAAGATTTGGACAGTGGACTAGACTCCAAGCACACATTTATACGCTCCAATAAATACAAAGCACTCTCAACACGTAAGTTTGACATTGCCCTCAATGGAACAGAGGGAAGGGGAACGATGTTACCGTGAAATGGTGATCAGGAACGGTGACTGGAGGGCGAACCAGTCTCTCTGAACCAATTACTGCACGATTACGACCGTATTTGGTCTGATCGTGCCCATAATTACACTGCCGAGGCTTCTCCCTTGTTTCTGACTGAAATACGGGCAGGGGGACAAGGAAATACGACCGTAATTGAGTCCTCCTTGCCCATAATTGCATTGCCGAGAGCCCCCTGTCAAAAATTTTAAACCACATTTTCGGACAACCAAACCCATTCGTGCCCCGGCTAGTAAATAAACACCACCATAGACAAAAACAGACCATCCGGGGCACGAAATACATTCCAGACAGACTCAAAGACTCAAAAACCGACAAAAAGCAAAAAGGGGAAGGACAAAAATGCAAACCGTGGTGGGGTTGCCTCCCCACAAGCGCTTCTTTACCGTCTTATAGTTGGACGCCAGTAGGGTGGATGCTCAGAGAGGCGTACGAATAGGTGCCTCCAAGAGCGTATCCACATCGCTCTTGAGGTACAGCTTCAGATGGTGGCCATGCACACGCGGGTGTGACCACCAGCACTCGTCAACTCGACCTGGCCATCCGGCAGGATGCAAGCGAGTGAATACTCGGATGGCCAAGGCGGTCGTGGCTTAGGAGGCGGGACTAGCTCATAGTGGTCTCCGGCTTTCTTTTGAGCAGGCTTGGCTACCTGCAGCTTCGACCACCACTCCTCCTTGATCTTGTCTTTTGGGAATGGAGTGGACGGGAGTGGCGGCAAAGATATGGGAGGGGGGGGGGGGGGTCCTGCAAAATGGGAAGCACAAAAGGATACACGACAGACTCGTGCTCCTGTTGAGAAACAACATACAAAGGCGATGAACCAGGGAGAGTATTAACAATGGAAAATGTTATTCGCTCCTCCCCATCCCTCAAGACTATGGTCCCATCATATACATTTATCAGAGCCTTGGCGATGGCCAGGAAAGTCCTTCCCAGTATAAGAGGCACTTCTGCGTCTTCATTGATGTCCAAGACAACAAAATCCACAGGATAAAAGAATCTGCCAACCTTAACCAGAAGGTCTTCCACTATGCCCCTAGGATGCACTATAGATCGGTCAGCTAGTTGAATACTCATCCTAGTTGCACTGGGTTCACCTAGGCCTAGTTTCTTGAACAATTTATATGGTATCACATTAATACTAGCACCTAGATCCGCCAAGGACCTCTCTACATGCAATTTACCTATAGAGCACGGGATAGTAAAACTACCTGGGTCCTTTTGCTTCTGCGGAAGCTTGTTCTGCAGAATGGCCGAGCACTCCTCGCCGAGCTCCACAGTGGCCAGCTTGCTCAGCCTCCGCTTCTTCGAGAGAAGCTCCTTCAGGAACTTCGCGTACTTAGGCATCAGAGATAGTGCCTCCATGAAGGGCACTTGGACATGCAACTTCCTAAGAATGGATGAGAAGTTTCTGAACTCTGCCTCCAGCCTGTCTTTGTACATCATGGTCGGAAAAGGGAGCTTAGGCTTATATTCAGCCACTACTGGTTGTGGCTTTGGAGCTTGAGCCTCTGTCTCTTTTTCCATCACCAGGTCTTCTTCCGGCTCTGGGGTGATTTGAGTCACCTTCTTGGCACTCTTCTGCGGTGCATCCGCAGTCACAGTCCCACTCCTTAAAATAATGGCGTGCAACCCCTCATGATTTCTAGGGTTTGGAAAGGGTTGGCCAGGAAGCGTGCCAGCCGGTTTGGAAGCAAGGGCATCTGCTAGGTGCCCGATCTTGGTGTCCATATCATGCAATAGTGCCTGCTGGTTTCTCTGGCCAGCCTCAGTCTCCATGAATTTTCCTGTAGCCACTTCCATGAATTGCTCCAATTTATTGAACTTTTGGGTATTAGTGCTCGCCAAGGTAGTCACTAGATCCCTCAGTTGTGACACGGGATCCCCCGGTGTTGGGACTGATGGGGATGCACCAGGCTGCTGGTACTGCTGTTGTGGGGGATGTTGAAAAGCCTGCCCCTATCTGGGCTGATAAAGTGGCTGCTGTTGCTGCATCTGGCCCGGGCGAGGCGGGTATGGCTGCCTCTGGTTTGGAAAACTAGTTGCAAAAGCCTGGAAGCCAGGTGGCTTTGGATTGCTGTTGCCAGTCCAAGAGAAATTTGGATGCTGGCGCCATCCCTCGTTGTAGGTATTACTGTAAGGATCGTTGCGCTTGGCATTGTTGACGAAGTTCACCTGTTCCTGGGGTGTATTGGACTCACGCATGGCCTGACAGTCTTCCAAAGTATAATGGGTGCTCTCGCACCACTGACAATGCATCGCTTGCTGCTGTCCTGTCCCTGGGATCAATCCCGAACGATCGATGGCCAAAACTAGTTTAGATACCACATTCACCAAATCAGATGACTGGGTGGCTACAGCATGCACACCCTGCCCTGGTGCTCGTCTCGATCTCCTCGCAGTTCCCCAATCATAGCCCTTGATGACTCGATATTTGCACATGTTTTCCCCTTTGTTTCTTGATCATTTAAGCTTGCATTATCGCTTCTTTGGCCTATTTTACGCTAGGTTGTGTTCCTTTGTCACATTTCAGGTCCTAGAACATAAAGTGAAGCGTAGGCGCAAGTTTCAAGTCAATCGGAGATCAATTGGTGACTCGGGGAAGAAACTCGGGTATGACTTGAAGAAGAATGGATTTCTACCTCAGTTTGTGACCATATAATCATGTAATCTTGTCATGAGAAGAAAGAGGATGAGACTACGAGCTTCTGGGATCAAACGACACCTGATTTGGAGTCCGAACGAGGGAGAAACGAAGAATCAAAGATAGGGGACCGGGAACTGCAAAATACCCGACCATAATACCCTACTGGGTATTTTGACCATCTGATAGGGTATTTTTGGCAGCATCAAAAGGCCCCCCGGTCGTGAACCAAAAATACCCGACCGGGTACTAAAAATACCCAACTGGGTATTTTCCCTTTTGCCTAGAAGAGTGACCCGGAGCATTTTGTTGATACTCGACCGGTTCTTGAAATACCCGACCAGGTATTCTGACCGGGGATCACGAATGCAGGCTGTTAAAAGCCTATTTTGTGTGTTTTTGCAAGAGAGAGCTGGGTTTTGGATCTCAAACACCCAAGGGGCGAACCAAAGAGATAGAGGGCGATTTGAGGGCATTCTTGGAGTGGAATTGGAGGATTACTTTGCCTTGGAAGCTTGAGGAACAAGCCCGGACTTGAAGACTGATCATCTGAATATTCTTACTACAGTCTCTCTCTTCTCTATGGAGTAACTTCCCTTAACTTAGGTTTTGAGGAACCCTA